GCAAAAACTTAAAAAGAGTAAGGAATGGCCACACATGGTACTTATCACCAGGGTCTGGGCCACTGTGAAGCCTGTTTATAGTACCAGTACTTAGTAAATCTTGCTAGTGAAAACTTTTTGCTGTGAATTTTGCTGTGCTGTACCCATAGGCTCTAGATATACAGTAGAAGCCTTGTGTTTATATTGCACATAGTATGGTGAAACTGCAATTTTATTTAAATAAGTCCCTTCCTGTAAATCTGTTTCGTGTTTGTATTTGCTTTGGGTTTACAAGGGTAAAGTTGAAGCTTGGATATTGCAGCTCATCCAGTACTGTACACTAATGTTAGTAGGCATATAAATAAAATATTTTTGTCATTTGGCTGTTTAAATATATTTCTTGTTTGCTGTACACTTAATTTTTTACTGCTTAAAAGACAGTCATACTGTCAGTACTACTGGTGTGTGGAATATAAAGGCACAATACAACAACCTTCATCTGGCTTCTCCTATGTTCCTTAATTTAGATATTTTTAAGCTATATCTATTCTGAGATCAGTGAAATAATTGGGAATTTAATTTCCATTTAGGAATGGAATACCAACTCTAGATTAAACCATCAGATTAGCAGAGCAAGAAGTTTCAGGCATTCAGTGCTGGGTGTAGAAACTTCATTCATTAGAATATTTTGTTTTAATCAAGTGTTGGTGAAGCACTTCCACCCACAACTGAACACTTGTAGGCTTCTGTAGTTTTCTGTGTGTAATGAAGCACTGTCAAGACTTCAGTACCTGGCAGATAAATGCTGACTAGCAATATTAGAAGAAACTCATCTGGGAGAAGAACATGATACTGATTGTTGTGAAATGGGCAAGAAAGATCATCTATGGAACTGTCAGTTCATTAACATGCAAAATGCCAGCTGTTAATAGGCATAAAAATGTAATGAAGTTTGGGAGGCTTTTTTCATAATGAAAGTCATGTTCTAATTGTTGTTGGAACTGGGATCTCTTTGTTGGGCTGATAATTACTTCCTCATGGAAAGTGTTGAACCTGGGAAAATGGGTAAGAGACATCTATGGTACATATGCTACGGAACAGTACCATTGAGGAAAAAATTACTTGTTTTTTAAAAGTTCACAGACTATCAAGGGAAGTGGCAAAATCACATGTGAAATCCTGCAGACCTCCAGCCTCCCTTGCCCTGAAAATCCAGTGAGTAGGATTGAACCTGATGTTAAATGGCTTAAGGGATTACTGGATCACTGAAAGATGGTTAATTATTCACACAAGTGTCAGTTGACTTGGATGCATGGGTTGTGTCACATGGTTCATTTCATAATTTAAGTCCAAAAATTACTACTAGGTGCTGGAAAAATAAATGACCTTGATCACTTTTTCTTTCTCCCCACTGAGAATGTATAGAGGCCCTTGTTTCTTTCTTTCTATGCCTTTTTTTTTTGTTTAAGTCTTCTGATCTGGCTTTTTCCTTTGTACTTTCCAATCTTCTGCTTGAGAGTTAATAGGAAAAAACTCTGTTCAGCACCTCTCTTGGTGTTTATTCACTTGGGATTATCATTCAAGTACCACAAAGCAGTATTCCCAGTTCTGTGGAAGCAGTATTCTCAGCAGTGAGCTGTAAGTATAGTGGCGTTGAGTTTTGTCAGAAGCAAAGTGACCTTTCCTGCAATGTACACTTCTAGTGTCACATTAGAAGAAACACCAATCTGTCTATTCCTTTTTCCTTTTAAAATTACCCTGCAGAAGAAGTGCTTTGAGCACATCAGTAGTGCTTTATCCAATACTAGCGTTAGGGTAATATTACAGCTCTTTGGTAAATTTTATTACCTTTTACTATCAACAGTGATATCCAAACTGGAAAATAACATGAATGATCAATCAGATTTACACAGTTCAAATATACATTCAGTTCACTTTTCATTTTCTTTGAGTGTTTTATAAATCCTAGGAGGCCAAGAAGAAAATGGGAACTCCTTAGGCTCTAGTTTATTTTTTTCAAATAATGGTCTCAAGACAATAAGAAATGATAAATTATAATATCAAGAGTGTGAATTACATAAGAAAAAAGCAAAAGATTGTGTAGATCAAAAAATATTATATTCTGCTTAATAAAGTAAAATAGCTGTGTTAACAGCAAAGGTTGGACCTTTAGTTACTAAAATCCTTTATCTAAGTAGGAAAAGTACTGTTAAAGGTACTAAGGTAGCAGCAGTTACAGTGAATGTCAAAGATGTGATGGGGTGGAAGGGAGATCACAAGAGTACAATTTGTGATAATGCACTCCCAAAGGATAGGGAAACTGTTGCTTTGAAACAAGAAAAGCTTAATGTTTTAGCTTTATATTATATTTATATTTTAACTCTTTAATGGAGCAGCTATTTAAGGAGATTGTCAGAAGAGAAGCAATTTTTCATTTGGTCTTCAGTTGTGCTTAGGAGGCCTTCAAGGTGGTATACTATGACATGGTCCAAATATATGTATATCTAGATTTTGTATCTTTGCAAGCACAATTGAGAAAAATTAGTCCATTACGGTAGTGTTTAATCACAAGATTATTGACAGAAGTGGGAATTTTGTGTAAAAACAACAAAAGCAGAACACACAGCAGGATATCTTTTAAGGACACTGTTAAAGCTCTGAGTGAATGTATAGGAAATCCTTCAAAAGAATGAAGAAGACAGTGTAGAAAAGACTACTGAAAGACTATATGTTTTTAAAATCTCAGTCTGTATCCAAATGAGGAAGATTATGCATTGACTTGAGCTCTTTCAAGTTGAACATAAAACAAAGATAAAAGGGTTTTGAAGAGAGTCTTCTTAAAGCATAAAACCAAATCCCTTGCTTTCAAATGCAGCACATGATAACCCTGCAGGAGAACCTAACAGGTGGGCAAAAGGTGGGAGTGCAAAGAAGATAAGGCTATATCAGAAAAAAAACTTCAGTGGCTTGTGTCTGCCAGAATAGAGCAGAGACATTTTAAGCTGAAAATTTCTCTTTAAGGGAGTCAGGCCTGGAAGACATATCTTACTGAAGTCAAATTCACAAAGGTGTTAAAACTGACTGATTAAATGAGCAGTTACAATTCCTGAGATTCACAGTAACACCCAAGATGTCTACAAGAACATGAGAGTCAGCTAAGTTAGTAGCTATGTTGTGTAATCTCTTGCTTAAAGCTGGTGTAGTACCAGAGAAATGGAAGACAGCAGACGTGGTAGTAGGTCTTAAAAGATCTTCCTGAGGATTAGCAAGTATGATTGTATGATCTTGAATTCTTCTCAATGGTAGAAACAGCACTAAAGAGCAGGGAGCTGGTGGACATGTGAGCATATCTGGGGAAGAGTTAGCTTTTGTAGAAGAAAATGTAATACCCTGTGAAAAGTGAAAATGCTTGGAGGAGATACTGACTATGTTGATAAGTGGTGAGGTTGCTTATACTATATTTGGATTTATAAAGAATTTAAGCAAAATCCTTCATCATAAGCTTTTAAATAAAATAAATTGATGAGGGAAAAGAGGGAAAGTATTTTTTCCATCATTTAACACATTCTTACTAAAAAAATAAATCAGTTTTCTTGGTGGGGAATTCAACACAATGATAAGTGATTTGAAAAAGCAATACATGGTTAGGTAGCATGGTTGATGATACCAAGTTATTCAAGATA